AGTTCTAAAAACGACTAAGGCCAAGTAGTAAAAGCATGTATTATACATGGGTTCACAAATATTTACTCCAATTTAAGGTTCAAATCAATAATGTCCAGCAAAAGTTCTCATCCTGCAATCCATGGATTCAAAAGGGAAAATAAGAATTATAAGCATCTAGTTAAATAATAAGACAAACAGGTTACTTAAATTTATAGAAGGACTTTTCAGTTTCTCTGTATGAGGTCAGATGCCCTAAAGTGAAGGAGGCAAAGTATGGCTCTGCAGCATCAAATTAAAAGGTGTGGGCTATGTGAGCAGGCATGATTTAACCTTGAGATAAAGGTGAAAATGGCTCACAGGAAAATTGGGAGTTAGGAGACTCTAGTACCTCCCCTGAGATTCGACATTCTGATTTGTATTATGAGGTGTCTGGGCAGATATCTCTCAGGTTTCACCCAGCTCAAAAATGCTACCTAAGCATCATTACATTATTCCATAATAAATCCATTATAAGTCAATTAAAGCACCTTTAGTAATGCAGCAGATTCAGTTACTTTATGAGTTAAAAATCACATTTCTCATGCATCCAGTGATGTGTATCTCTCTAATAAAGACATAGCTAGTACAGATGTCATTTTGTTCTAACAACATTTGAACTTATTTACAGGATATATGCTCAGTTGCCAAAAAGCTAAGATTAAAATTTCAGCTGCTTTTAATGCTGAAGAGTAAGGATTAACTAGTACTTTATAAGTATCTTCTAGAATACTTGACATTCAGAGACGGCAAAAAAAAAAAAAGTGGTTAAAAAACAACAAAGGCAACAGGGGCTGGCCCCGTGGCTGAGTGGTTAAGATCACACGCTCCGCTTCAGCAGCCCAGGGTCTCGCCAGTTTGGATCCTGGGCACGGACATGGCACCACTCATCAAGCCATGCTGAGGCAAAGTCCCACACAGCACACCTTGAAGAACCTGCAACTAGAATGTACAAACTATGTACTGAGCAGCTTTGGGGAGAAAGAAAAAAAATAAAAGATTGGCAACAGATGTTAGCTCAGGTGCCAATCTTAAAAAAAAAAAGCAAGGCAACAGGGCCAGCCCAGGTGGCCTAGTGGTTAAGTCTGGCGTGCTCTGCTTTGGTGGCCCAGGTTCGGTTCCTGGGCATGGATTCACACCACTCTGTTAAGAGACATGCTGTGCTGGCAGCTTACATCCTAAAAAATAGAGGAAGACTGGCAATGGATGTTAGCTCAGGGCAAACCTTCCTCAGCAAAAAACAAACAAACAAAAGCAAGGCAACGACAAGTCTCCCATACCCCTCCCATCTTCTTTATTCACTATTTCCCTACAAAAGTATACTTCATTAATTCACTTCCTTCTAAATGGTAACCTAGGGTGTACCTGATACAGATAACATTTTTTTTTTAAGATTGGCACCTGAGCTAACAACTGTTGCTAACCTTTTTTTTTTCTTTGCTCCAAAGCCCCCCAGTACATAGCTGTATATTCTAGTTGCGAGTGCCTCTGGTTGTGCTATGTGGGACACCGCCTCAGCGTGGCCTGACGAGTAGCACCATGTCCACGCCTGGGATGCAAACCAGTGAAACCCTGGGCCGCCAAAGCAGAGCATGCGAACTTAACCACTCAGCCACAGGGCTGGCCCCCAGATAGCATTTTTAAAAGTCCTGAGTGGTGTCTCGTTACTACAGTAACATTCAAAGGTTAAGATCTAGACATAACACCAAACTGTGATGAAATGCTTTCGTGCTACTATCATCCGAAAACAAGTCTTAAAATTTCAGAGCTGAAAGTTCCGAGATCAACTAGGCCAGTGACTTTTAAGTAGGGAACCTTATTCAAACAAAACCCTACCCAAAAGCTCAGTAGGCAAAACTTTTTCCAGAGGGGTACGAAATCTTAAACCTTTCTGTCCAGCACTCTCTTTTCCTACTCCAACAAAATTAGAAAACTACTAACTTGGTAAAATCCTTTTTATTTCATAGATGAGGAAACTGATAGGCCCAAAGAGCTTAAGGGACTGACCCCAGATCACTCTGTAGATAGACACAACAGGTGGATCTAGGGCTTGATTGTAGCATAATTGCTTCTTTATGTTAATTCCATTCAGAGTGGTATAAAGAAAGGGAAGATTGTTAACAGAAATACAGTAATTTTAAATAAGCTCCCAGAGGTCAAATCACAAGGTCCAAGGATTTCAGTTACTTAAAAATATCAAGACACTGAATGCCATCCTCTCATTCTTGCTTACACTGGATGCTACACTTCTGTATAACAACAGATCCCTTAGTAAGGTCCTTACTATGATTAGGCAGGTCTGCTAAGCAGGCCAGGTAATCTCCAGCCTTTGTTTTAGGATATCCCAAAGTATCTTAAAGAAAATGGGGGCGGGGGGAAAGGCACGGACAGGTGAGCAAAGTGTAAATGCAGCATAAATCTAAATTTTTAAAATTAGTGTCAACATTTCTAAAACAATGGATAACACAAAGACTGCCTTATTTTATCTAGCTAAACAGTCAATTTAATTCCATATTTACCTAGTTTAATGACTGTATACTATATATAAAGGTAACGAGGAAATAGTGGGGAAGAAACTGAGGGGATGGGAAGATGCTGCCAAACAAACAATGCTTATATACATCTTTCTTATCCCTTCCACTTCACTGGAAAAACCATTCTCTCACACTTTAAAACCAATGAACTACTTTTGTTTCTATGTACCGGAATCTACCACTCCTAAAACAAATTTACTTTCCCCACCCTCATCCAATCACTACACTCTGCCTTAGAGACTACCCCCAGAAGCCACACTCTATTCTTGGATGCCCTCCCCAACCAGTTCACCAAGCTTTCTTCCATAGAGGCAGATCCTGAAATCCCATCTTCTCTCCCAGAAAGCCTTACCTTTAAAGCCAGGTAAATTTCTCTTTAGCTCCACCCACAGACTGGGTATAACTACTGCAACTCTCTCTACACTCACCATCTTACAATAGATGCCTATTATTTTGCTCACAGGTTAATTTCATTTATTCATGTGTTTATTCACTATATTAACTATTGCCATTGTGGGTCTGTATCAGTGTTGTCCTTAAATAAAAGCTACCAGATAAAAGGGCATGTATTTGAGTTTAGCAATGAAAATGCCAGATGCTAAAGGCTTTTTGAAAACGATTTCAAGTACATTAAATTCAATCTAATTTGTGAAATTTATAAAACCTCCCAACTCAGATGAACCTCAAAAGCATTATGCTAAGTGAGAGAAGCCAGATACAAATGACCTCATGCTGTATGATTCCATTTACATGAAATTCCAAGAAATACTACAGTGATAGAAAGCAAATCAGTGGGGGCCGGGATGGAGAGATGGGATTAAATGCAAAGGGAAAGGAGTTTTAAATTTTTAGGCTAGTGCAATCGAAATGTTTTGAGAAGAAAAACCCTTAAATATTTTAATCAAGATTTTCATTCTTCCACAATAACATTTACTTTCCCACACAGCAAGGTTTGGCTTTTTTGGGGGGTGGGGGGATGGGAATCATTTAAAATCGCAAATCATCTCAGATTTCACACTAATCTTCAGCTCATAAGATGAATGAATTTTCTTCCAAATAATTTATCACTTCCAAGCAACAGAACATTTTATCACTCAAGTTCTCCATTAAAAATGTCTATCACCATTGGAAATTTTTAAAGGATAGTGTTACTCGGTTTGTTTCCACATCAGAACTAATGTATGTAATCCAGTCCTTAATTGAAAGTTTGAAAAGAAAAACTGGAATGGAAAAAGAGGCAAATACCATTCCACTTAATTCTCAACTATCTCTGGATCTTTTCACAAATGTTATTTTTGAGTAACTGTTGGAAAACGGCTGGGTTTTAAACTTTATTTTAGTCTCTACTCTAGGAAGAGGTTCTTTAAAAGTCGAAACACTCTAAAACCCTTTAAAGTCAACCATTTAAAAGAACCCAATGTCTTTATCTGGTCATCTTTTATCCTGATCACCATTACTATTTGCCTTCACCAATATCCCACCCCAAAAAAGGGCCACAATTTCCCTGATATGATGAGTTACTGACCAAGTAATTCAACAGGTTGAAGCTACTTATCAAACTGTGGCTACGTGATTAAGCTTTCTTTTAATACAACCGACTTGAGTAAATTTTAACAGTGCTGCTCAAAGTGCCTTTCTTTGTCATTACCCTAAAAAATTTAGTATAGACTGAAACGCAGCAAACATTACCATTCACAAAAGAGTAATTAACAACTTTACAAGGACTATAAAGGATTTACATAGTATAATTTAACAATTTCGCGTCGCATCTGCTGCAGAGATCACAAACAGACTGTCATTATGCCATCTCCTTTCTTGAACCCCGCCGCCGCCTGCGGCTTTATTCTGGGCTTTTCAAAGGTTTAATCCACTCAGGGCTGCTAAAGAGGGAATCAAGGAAGCCTAAGTTGTGAACCCAAGCGGAGGAAAGGGCAGGAAAATGTGGTTGAGTCACGTCGTTCCGCCATTTTCTAAGCGGAGGAGGAAGACATGTTGGAACAAAAACACAACAAAAGAGCAGCCATTTCCCAAGCCAGTTCCAATAGCAACCCGAACTGGCCGAGCCCGGCCGCTCCGGCAGCTTCGAATGCATCTCACTGGACAAACCTAAGAACATCAGAGGTGCCGACGTAAAGAAAGCAGCTGCATCCTCCCGCTCAGGGAGCAAACATCACCCGCATACTGACTGCAGGTGAAAGGCTCGGGAAGGACGACGGAAGCTAAGTGGGGCACAGTGTCAGAAACTGAAATCCTAGACCAAGTTGGCAGACTCAAATCTACTCGGTGATTTTGGTGACTTACGGTTCACACGAAACCCCCGGCTATAGGAAACCCCGGTAACGCAAATACCCAGACCCGGATTCAGCTGGCCCTACTACCTGCCTCTCCCCGTTTTCCCCAATCCGTACTTCCCCTCGGAGAACCGCCTGTTTGCTTACGGGTTCTTACCGTATGTGGGGGATGCCAACCCCACCTTGAAGAATCTTATAGAGTTTGCTCTCGTACAGCAACTGGGGATGCCTGGCCTTCTGAGATTCTAGCTTCACTGCCACTTCCTGCAGGGGAAAGAGGGGACGATGGCATCAACATCCCTAGGATTCAATGTCACTTGGGCAGGGACGGGAGACATTAGCAAAGCTCCAGCTCGCGACCCGAAGGTGGAAGTGAGAGGCTGGGAAGAGAAAGCTCTCTTTGTAATTACAGAGCGAGGCAAGCTGCCTCCAAGGCCTCTTCAGGGGGTAGTGACGAAATCCGCACGTCCTCTAAAGTGCAGGAAAATGATTCATCCAGAAAACCTAAGGAGAGGTGAGGAAGGAACCAGGCGATCGGGAATCGTCCTAATGGGAACGAGAACCCCAGGAGAATTAAATACAAAGAGGAAAAACATGGGGATCACGGATTTGGCCGTTCTCACCTTAAACGACGGTTTAAAAAGTTCGATTAAGGCGCATTTTCAACAAGCTGGGAAACTTCTGAGTTCACCCAACCTTCCCATCGGGTTCTTTCCCTTTTAGGGAAGGAGAGCGGGGGAGGTTCGTAAGCCAGGAAAGCTGGCTCCAAGTGGACACCCCCGGGCGTGCGTGCGGGGGGCAACGGCCCGAGCCGCAAGGGGGTGGGGAAGGGAGGGAGGACAGCCGCAGCGCGGCCGCGGACCCCACCCCAGGGATTACCTCGCCGTTGGTGATGTTGATCGCCAGATAAATGTCCCCGAAGGAGCCAGACCCGATCTTCCGTACCAGTTTGTATTTCCCTCCGACAATGAACTCGGCCTTGGAGCCGCTGCTGCTCGCCATCCTGAAAGACGAAGATGGAGGCTGGGGCCAAGCCCCGACACCTCTGAGGGGAGGACGGAGGCCTCTGAGGCCCGGGCGCGGAGCGAGGCTGCGGAGGAGGGCGGCAGGAAACGGAAACCGTCGGCTCTCTCGGCGTTACAGGGCCCAGAATCGGCCGAGGCGAGCCGGTCACCGCCGCTCAGTCAGGCTTCCCTGGCCAGGCCGCAGTCTGTGAGGAGGTTCTTTCGGTTACCAGGCCGGGCCACTTATTTCTGGGCGGCCGCCGCGGCCTCGCTTTCGCGGCGCCCTCGCGGGCCGGAAAAGGAGCGCGGTGTGTTAGGGCGGCGATACCACTGTCACCGCTGCCGCCGGCTCCCGCCCGGAGGGATCTCTGTCACTCCGCTGACGCCGCCATCTTGTTACTCCGGCTCCAGCCAACACAAAATGCCCCCAGTCCCCGGGAGCCGCTTCTTCACGGCGCGGAGCACTCTGGGAAAGGGATCTCGGGCGCTCGCCCCGGAGGGTCGGCAGCGAGAGGGAGGGCGGAACCGGATCCGTGAGAGTCGCGGCCCACGCTCGGAGCGTCACCCCGGCCCCGCCCAACCGCTCATGCGTACTGCAACGCTGCTGACTGCGCAGGCGTGCCGTCGTCTCTCCTTACTCCCCCCCCCCCCGGGGCTCTCTTCCACTTCCGGTCGTTGGCGGTTCTGCTCTCGTTACCTGTTTGTTAGTCACGTCCGACTCTCCCGGTGTCTGAAATGCCGGGCGGCCCCAGGCCTCGAGGGCATGTTAGGGAGGAGTCACCTTCATTTTTCGGGGAAGATGGAAGCTTCAGGGCTCCTTAGGAGTTGGGTATTGACCTTTGCTCTTTGTTTGAGGCGGTTTTTAACCTTTGATCTTTGCTCGGGCCGCTCCCCCCGGCCGGCCTGTTCCAGCTCAGTTTGTTTTGAAAGAGGCTGTCGCCTCTGGTGGGGAGGGAGAGAAAGGCAGTCCTGGGCGGGCAGGGCTTCTTCCGGGCCCCCTGCTTTAGCCCAGTCTAGCTGATGAGGCTTAATAATTAGAATCCTGCGCTTTACGGACTGTTGGAGACGCTCTTTTTACAAGCGAGGAAAAGAGGGAAACCAGGAATTACCCTGCTGCCCTATGTCTTTATGTTGTTGCTCTACTGATACCTTTGATCCCCAAGGAAAAAACGCAATATCCCAGTCATAATTTTAGTAGCAGATACAGTCATCATAAAGTAAAATTTCCAACCTTGAAAAAAACTGCACATGAAGTTGTTATCCCCACCCCCCCATCCCACACACACACACACACACACACACACACACACACACAAAACCCCGAAAAAATCATATCTTGGTTGAAAACAGTATTCACCCAAAAAAGATAGGGTAGAAATAGCTATGACAGAATAAAATTGGCAGCGTTTAAAACTTTACACAGTAAGATTTTTTTTTAACTAAAAATTGATAAAAGATTCAAATCTTGACCACGTTTTGGATTATGAAATTTGACCAGGCAATATTGGGCTCTAATAATGATCATCACGAAAGAAAGCTACGTGGTTGATGGTATCGTCTATTATATGAATCAAACCCTGGTGAGTGAATGAATCAAACCTCAGTTGTAAGAATTTAAACAGCAAAACCTATCCCAAATAAAATAATTTCATTAAAATGGAAATGGAAAAAAAATGTAGACTTAACTGCCACTTTGAAGTGATGGGGTTCCTCCTGGAATATATCTGAACTAAAATTTCTCCATGTTACTCTAATTCTGACTTAAGTGTTTATCTTCATCAAGTTCTAGTCTAAATGTCTTGAACTTGAAAATAGAGGGGAAGAGATGTCCTCTAAGGTTTAGGATGAAGTTTTGAGGCACTATCAAAATCCAGGCTGCCTGACTCCCAGATCAGCACCATTAGACATTGTCCTTTGGTGACTCCAGAGCATTTTTGGCTTACTTAAAATTCTTTGCTGTTAGATTGTTAGATTCTGGTCTTAAGAAAAAAAAAGCTAAGTTTAAGCATCTTGAAGTTTCCAGAGATAGCGACCAGTCTGCTGATTTTCTACCGCGGCCATCCAAAACTTAATGAATTCCCCAGCTTAGAGAGTTCCCCATAAGAGGTGGGGTATATCTTTAAAGGAAGTGGACTAGGTTAAGGATTCCCAAAGGTGTATGGACAGGGACAAGTCTAACAGAGATTTCCATAGAGATATTTAGAAAAATGAGAGCAGTATAATGCAGTTTTCTTTCATTTATCTAATTTCAAATTGTGCTTTATTCTGAGATTTTATCTTCCTACATATGTGTCATTAAAGTGCCCTTTTATAAAATGGTGCTGATGGTAGATGGTTGTTTTGTTAATATCCTTATTTGGCAAAATTAAAAGTTGACACTTTATGTCTGCTCACCCGCCTTTTTTTTTTCCAACTTTTATAGGTTTTTGAAATCCTACACTCTGGGACCCACTAATCTAAGTGACTTTTAGAAGTCCTTCCAACTCTGAAATTCTATGATTTTATGTATGTATTTGGCGTGTCTCTTCCTTTGTTTCATGCCTGCTGTAGTCACTGTTCCAGCACTGACAGTATCCAGCAAAATGTACTAAAATGCTGTATGAGAGGTCATAGCCTTATTGAATGTGATTTCAGTTGATTGCATTTTAAGATTTAAATTTGTCAGATTTAAGAAGGGCAAACATTTTTTGCTTTTTCTTTTAAGACATAGAAAATGAAGTTTTTAGGTGTTGGCTATGACTCAGCCATCTCCTTAAAATCATGTATCATCTGTGGTAACTTTCAGCTTCAGCAACTGAAGGATTACCTGTTTTGGGTGCTGCTATTTTAGTTACAAATCATTCTGTACTTTTGAATCCACAGCAGCTTTGGGGTAATAGAAGGAGTCTTCTAAAATGTGCCATAATGCAATTCCTGACTCCTGGATCAGATGAATTCACTAAAACTATAATCAAAAGTATAGAATAAATAGGGGCCGGCCCAGTGGCGCAGCGGTTAAGTTTGCACGTTCTGCTTCAGCGGCCCAGGGTTCGCCGGTGTGGACTTGGCACCACTTGGCAAGCCATGCTGTGGTAAACATATAAAGTAGAGGAAGATGGGCACGGATGTTAGCTCAGGGCCAGTCTTCCTCAGCGAAAAGAGGAGGATTGGCAGCAGATGTTAGCTCAGGGCTAATCTTCCTCAAAAAAAAGTATAGAATAAATATTTTAGAACTTGAGGGACATTTAGAGAACATCTAGTCAATAATTATATTTTTTAATGCTTTGCGATTTACAGAGTCCTTTCACACATATCACTCATGCCCCACTAGGACGAAGTGGCTTGTCCAAGATCATACAGATCTTAGTGCCAAAGAAAGGACTAGAAACCCAATCTCTAACACAAAGAAAGAGAAAAAGGAAAGGGTAGAAGGCAGATTGGGACAATCATGCCCCAGTGATTACTTCTATGTTCATAGAGAGGTCAAGATGAATAAAACTTTTTTTTTTAAAAAAGATTTTATTTTTTTCCTTTTTCTCCCCAAAGCCCCTCCGGTACATAGTTGTATATTCTTCGTTGTGCGTCCTTCTAGTTGTGACATGTGGGACGCTGCGTCAGTGTGGTTTGATGAGCAGTGCCATGTCTGCGCCCAGGATTCGAACCAACGAAACACTGGGCCGCCTGCAGCGGAGCACGTGAACTTAACCACTCGGCCACGGGGCCAGCCCCTCAGAACGCTGCATTCTTTTTAATCACTATGTATTATTTCATTGTATGAATGCAGCATAATTTATATGATAAATATATGTATATACTTCCCATATTGAAAATTTTGCCCATTTTTCTCTATCACCAGCAATGCTGTAGTGAACATCCTGGTACACAAATCTTCATGCCCATGTGAAAACATTTTCTAGGATCAATTCCTGCAAGAGGAACTTGCTGAATCAAAGGCCACATGCATTTAAGGTTGAATAAAACATTTTTTAAAGCCACAGTGTTTATCTAAGGCAATGTCACTGGTAACCAGAGTGTGTTTTGGGTAAAATGATAAGGATGAGCATGTGAAATATAGATGGATGCTGTCAAGAGGAAAATAAAAACACAAGGGTGGCCTGCCCATCTCCTAGGTTGTTTGGTACAAATAAGTAAAAAAAATGAAATGCCTTGGAATATGTCAAACACTGTCTCAGGTGTCATTACATAGCCTTCTGGGTAATCAGTATTAGATAAGTGAGTTAGTGGAGTGATTGAAAACTTGAGAACATCAGAAATGTCCTATTGGATCAGAGTGAGCATTTAGTCTGTTTTCTAGTCATTGACAGTGACAGCAATTTCTATGTCCCTTTCTCGTGTCAGTTCCTGTTCTCTGCATTGTTCACGAAATTTTGTGAAAGTCGATTGCTGCTTCTATGAGAGCAACAAGCCCAGTTGAGACATTCGCAAACATTTCTTCCTTTTTATGGAGTCATTAACCATAAATTTATTTCTGTTAATTTCATTCCTTCAACTTATGTATGCTTTTGACACATGGTTTCAAGATTCTAAAGATTGATACATTCCATATGTATATTACCTGATGATCTTTTAATAATCGTATATACATATAAAATGTTTGCTGTTCTTTTCCTTATAAAAGTGACAACTCATTTGAAAAGTTTAGAAAATTTAGATAAATCAGAAAAAAGAAAATAAAAATCTCTTAGAATTTAACCACCAAATGTTAACATTTTGCTGTTTATAAATGTCCAGTCTTTTTTTCTATGCTTAATGTGTGTGTGTGTGTATTTATGTTGGGTGTATGTATATCTATCAGTATAATGTGTGTGTATACATATATTTAATTTTATTTCTTAAAATTTGCAACAAATGGTTATAGTGCACAGTTTTGAGACCCAGTTTTTTCTCTTAATGATTTGTTAGAGATATGTTTACATATAACTAAATAATCTTCCAAACTATCATTTTTAATGTTAAATATGTATCATATTGACAGAACAACATTTAACCAATCCCAGTTGAGTATTCTGGTTATTTCCAAACTTTTGCTAGTATGAAAACGCTTTAATGAATAGTCCTGTAGCTAAATCTTTTCTCACATACAAAATTAACTGGTTAGGATATATTTCTAGAAATGTAACTGGTCTTAAAACGTCTTGATCATAAACAACAACTTCCAATTCTGTTTTGGTACAGTTTGTGATGATTGAACCCATATTCATGGGCTCTCCTCATTTCTTAGATTTATCTTTATAAATTTAAATCCTAATCCTTTCATTCTGTCCTTAAAAGAGGTTGTTAGGTTTTCTTTTCTGACAAGCTATTGTTGTAAAACCTAATAAACTTAGTTAGAAGACATCTTTTCTTTGCAACTCCCCTATTCCCTTCCCCACCTATTTCAAAATCTCAAGAATTTTGCAAGTCTGTGGTTTGCAAGGATGTGCTCATAGGATGGGAAACGTCCCATTTATGGACATAGCTAACAAAACACATGTGTTGGCCATTAGTGAAGCAATCACATTGTACAGATATTTAGACTTAGTTGAAAGAGGGGGAAAATTAGTTCCCTGTAAGAGACAATGGAGGTCAAAGGACCCTCAAAATCAAGAATGTAGCTAACCAAGTATGAAAAACAGAGTGATCTCATTTATGTTAAAATCTCCCATATTTTGCATAAATTCAAGTATTCCCTCAGAAGTAAATATGTATTCCCACAAAAATAAATGTACAAGGTTTTAGAGATGGGGAAGAATTCAATTTGTCACTGTTCCAAAACTGAGATCAACCCAGACTTTACTACAGAAATCTTTGAAATGCTTCAGTTAGGCATTTCAGTGTACTTTAAGTGAGAATGTCCCCTTTTCCACCTGTGTATGTAAAATGTTGCCATCTACATTTAGAGGATGTAACTTTAAGTAAGTTTTCCTAACTTTAAGTAACAGCCCATGGAAATAATACTTGAGTAGTGGAAAATTATTTTATTCTTAAAAAGTGGTTTGAGGTGGGAGAGGAGAAACCAAATTATCCCTTTATTTGGGTATTTAAAGGCTAGGTTAAATGGTGTAGGGAAACATATCCTGACCTAAGTCGTCAGGAAATCTGAATTTTAGTTATGACTCTACCTTAAATATTTTCCTAGGCTTCAGTACTGTAATCTTTTAAAAGAGAAGTCAGATTCTAAGGTTCTTTCTAGCTTTAAAAAATATTGTACTACTGGGGCCAGCCCAGTGCTTACTGGGTAAGTTCATGCGCTTCACTTCTGTGGCCTGGGGTTCATGGGTTCAGATCTTGGGCACAGACTACACACATCAAGCCATGCTGTGGAGGTGTCCCACATACAGAACAGAGGAAGATTGGCACAGTCATTAGCTTAGGGACAATCTTCCTCAAGCAAAAAGAGGAAGATTGGCAATAGATGTTAGCTCAGGGCCAATCTTCCTCATCAAAAAATAAAAAAATAAATATTGTGCTGCTTACTGAAGATGATTCCTATATTTTGAAGTAGAAGGAGGAAATTAACATGCTCTTTTCTTTCTACAGCTTCTTAAAATTCAGAAAATACATAAAATTCTGTTGGGCATATCCTTACCCATGCTCCTTAATACTTTTTTTTTCTTTGAGATTGGCCCTGAGCTAACCTCTGTTGCCAATCTTTTTTTTTCTTCTCCCCAAAGCCCCCCAGTACATAGTTGTATATTCTAGTTGTAGGTCCTTCTAATTCTGCCATGTGGGACGCTGCCTCAGCATGGCCTAATGAGTGGTGCTAGGTCTGCACCCAGGATCCGAACCAGTGAAACCATGGGTTGCAGGAGCAGAGCACAGGAACTTAACCACTCCAGGGCTGGCCTTCCTTAATACTTAATTGTCAGGAAAAGCAGATTCTCTATCAGTGAAACATAGCAATGGAAAGATATAATTAGAAGAGATTCCCAGGGCTGGCCCCATGGCTGAGTGGTTAAGCTCACACGCTCCGCTGCAGTGTTTCCTTGGTTCGAATCCTGGGCGCGGACATGGCACTGCTCATCAAACCACACTGAGGCAGCGTCCCACATGCCACAACTAGGAGGACCCACAACGAAGAATATACAACTATGTACCGGGGGGCTTTGGGGAGAAAAAAGAAAAAATAAAGTCTTTAAAAAAAAAAAAAGAGATCCCCAAATTAGAAGAGATTGGGAAATATCTTCTTTTTAAAATGTTTAAGAAAGGCAATAATTGTTTCTTCGTTTACATATAGCTGTCCCTGGAGGTGGGGGAGGGGCTTCACTTAAATGACCTCCGTGGCTCCCTTTTAGTCTAAAAAAAAAAAAATCCTTGCCAAGATTCTCATAGAGGGAAAGCTCAAAATGATTTTACTCTTTAACACAGTCATTCTCGGCAAGGAATGAGATTCAACAGCGGAAATCAAGCAAAGCTTGTTTCATATCCTCTTATAATACTGATTCGTCTAGCCCCACCACTCCCTCTCAGAGTTGCTTTGAAATAATGCCTGAGGCTTTAACTCATTTGTCTGCAATGAACACTCTGCAGTGTAATATTTAAACGCCAGAGATATGTCCTGACGAGGAAATTCAGATCGTTGATGTTCCGTGTACTCATTGAAAACCTTACTAACTAAGGCCAGGACTTGAAAGGCACCGTAAAAGATGAAACACCTGAGTCCCCTGCCTTCTCCACTCTATCCCCGTTATCTTGTGCTGGTCAGTCTGTCTGACCTGGCAATATTTACATAATCAAATTATATTTTAAAATTTCTATTTTAATCACACGAACCATTAATTCCTGGAAATGCACTATCATGCATGGCATTTGGGATATTTGTGTTGGCTATTTTTACTTGAAAGAATTTTATTAGTGTTTTGGAGTTTCTGCAATTTCTATGTCTCTTTCTTTTCTCAGCCTCTGTTCTCTTCCTCTGCATTGTTCATTAGCAAGGGCAAGAAACTGTACTCCCTGTGACTCATTATTGCTCAGTATAGTAATCTACTCTTTGTGAAACTAAATTTGGAAGATGCTTGAGTTGCCCTTCCTGAGGAGAGCCGGTC